GGTTTCAATTATGTACGGCTGCAGCTGCTGATCCTCATCTCCCCCTGAAGGGATTTCAGGGTGGAAACCATGAATGAGGTGCTCTGGGAACAGGTCTTCAGATAGGTATTTTCAGGTAAAGATTTTTATGAACCTAGTCCTTATATTGGGGCTCCCCAGGAGGCTCTAGTGGTAAAGAACCTGACTGCCAATGCAGGAGAACTAAGAGATGTGGATTTGGTCCCTGGGTTGGGAAGGTTCCCCCGGAGGAGGAAATGGCAACTCACTCCAGTATTTTTACCTGGAAAATCCCATGGACAGAGGAGCCTGGCGGGCTACAATCCATGGAGTCACAAAGAAACTGAAGTGACTTAGCCCAATCCTTATATGTACTTGTATCTAGAAAATTGCTTAATCCCTTCATGGTGACAGCAGCTCCTTGGGACTAGCAGAAAATTTTGGCAAAGATAAGTACTTCTCCTTCACCAAAATCACATGTATATTGACCATCCCCCTGTGCAATGGAGCATTTCCTGCCACATCAGGAAACAAGGATGTCACAGTCATCATGGACTTCAGCCTTCCGGGTGTGAGCCAGTAAGCTCTAAGGGAATTCAGAAAGAAGCATACCTGCTATCTAACAGCCATCAGCCTGCAGCCATTCCCTATAGAGGGAGGAAGTGAAAACTGCTGGGTGTTGGCCCCAGATAGCTGAGATGAATGTAAAAATGATTTCAGTGAACCCAGCTGGCTTGCATCTTCCTATACAGAGAAGAGAGCTAAATAACTTGAGAAACCTGGCTTTTCTTAATTAACAATAATCTTTTGATGTTCAGGCTACCTGCCTCTTTGTTGCAAACTTCTGTATAACCTGACTTCCTCTGCCTCCATGGAGCAGCTTCTCAGGGCTACATGAGATGCTCTCTCCCAGGTTTGAAGTCCTAAGAACTTCCCACTGAATAAAAACAACTCTCTACTTTCAGGTTGTGACTGTTTTTTAGGTCAATACCCTCTACCTATTTGGAGCAGTTTTCTCAGAGCTATCTGAAGTGCTTTCTCCTGGGCTGCAGTGCTTATTTTCCCCTAAATAAAATTTAAATCGCCATTCTCACATTGAGCATTTTTCTCATTCAACAGGCCCAACTTCATTCTTTTGCATCTGAACATCCAGTTTTCTCTACATCATTGGTTGAAATGTTGTAGCCACATGTTCCGGGAAACAAACTCACTCAGAAGGACAATGAAGATAGTGGAGTGCAGTTTATTACACCGGCAGGCCCAAGGCAGAGTCTCCTCTTAGCCAAGGACCCCGATCAACTTTTGTGAAAACCTTATATACCTTAAGTGTTCTGCTCAAGCCCACCTCCCCAAATTCCTTAAACCTAGCCTGGAAAGTGTTAAAGGGAGATGCAACCAGGTTATAGCCATGATTCATAATCAGAAGAGTCAGCTGGTTATACACTGGAGCCCACACCAACGGGTGCCATAAAGATTACAAAGGTGACTGACCTCATAGGGGATTATTACATTCTTCTTGGTGATGCGAAATCTTGGTATGGAATCTGGTGTTTATCAGTCCAGGAGGCCATTTCGGCCGTGGGTATGTTATCCCCTTTGCTACCAGGCGCATGGTCCAAAGCTCACTGAAAGTGCAAGATGGAGTTTCCTTCTTATTCAAGATGGAGTCAGTTCGGCCAGCTCTTTCCTCCCTCAGAAAAAGACTGTCCTTTCCCCACTGAATGGTCTTTGCAGCTTGTCAGCAACAGAGGTGCTGTCTCCTGGGTTGAGTCCTCATTTTGAGACTTAAACCACAGGCTTTTTTTTTAAATGATCAAATGGAATCTTTCTGAATGCTGGTGAATGCATGGAACATAATACAAACAGGTATGGTCCTAGAGTTTATCTTTCAAATCCCAAATTGAAAAAAAAAATGCCAATTGAAAAGTAGAAATATTTAATTACTAAAAAAATTTTTTCTCTGTCATAATTCTTCTGCTCCCTGGACTATGAAGCCGGGAGGTGGGCCTCATCCATGCCACTCCCTGGATGTCAAGGTCAGGCCTCGGATATAACTGCTGGATGGGTGGTTGAGAACTCAACTTGAACTCCTGATGCTGGGAGCCATATTGAACCTGATTCAGTTTTCTAACAGAAAACGGCTGTTCACAAGCATAAACCACGATCTTTTAGCTGAGATCACGCTGGTCTCAGGACTTAATGAAGCTCAGGTTCTTGATGTCTCGTCACAGAAAGAATTCAGTGAGAGACAGAGTGATAGGTAAGGAGTGAAGTTATTCAGAGAGGAGCATCCTCTGCAGATAGAGTGTAGGTCTCTTCGGAAAGTGGCAGTGGCACCAGGGTATGGGGCAGTCAGTTTTTTGTTGCTGTTGTTGTTGTTGTTCAGTTGCTAAGATGTATCTGACTCTTTGCAACCCCACTGACCACAGCAAGCCAGGCTCCTGTGTCCTCCGCTATCGCCTGGAATTCACTCAGATTCATGTCCCTTGAGTCAGTGATGCCACCGACATTTGTGTCTCTCTTGAGTGTGATATTTTGAGCAGTGAGCAGCCAGACCTTAGTTCAGTAACACGTCTACAGTACATCCCCCATTTCTTTGGTCCCTTTGCAGCAAAACTCAGTCACCCACACCCTGTCCCCAGGGGCTCTCCTCGCATCCTGCTGTAACCCACTCACTGGGGTTTCTGTCCCAGCCACTCTGCTCTCGCTGCCCTGTCAAGATCACAATAACTGATGTGGCTAAATCTGATCTCAGCTCTCCTCCTCCCCCTCCACTAGGCAATGCTGGACACAGCAGGGAATCCCCCTCCTGCTTGCCCTCTCTTCATTGGCTTCTAAAACATCTGAGACTCTAGCACCAATTCCAATATGCAGGGGTTTTCTTCCCCCCACACCAACAAGCAATTCTCAGACACCAGTTCAGTGTGCTACCATTTAAGTCAGTTCCGACACCGTCTACCTGGAGACAGCATCTGATCTCCCAGATGAGGCTCAGTCCTACAAGACTGCCCTCCTCCCCCACTTTAGATGCCAATCACAAGTCCATGTTGTTACCTGCGCTTCTGACCCACCGGCTAGAAGATTGGCGGTTCCCATGGCCCCCTTCTTGGATTTGATTAATTTGTAGAGTGGCTCACAGAACACAGAGAAACATTTTACTCTCTAGGTCATTGGTTCATTACAAAGGCTATAACTCAGGAGCAGCCAGAGGGAAGAGATGCATAGGGCAAAGCATTTCGGGAGGAGGTCGAGCTTCCACACTGTCTCTGAGCACACCACTCTCCCTGGATCTCCCTGGGTTTATCCACGTGGATGTTCTCTGAACTCTTTGGATTTTTACTGGAAGTTTCATTACATAGGCATGGGTATTTATTGGCTATGGTGACTGATTCAAACTCTAGCCTTACCCCTCCTCCCTAGACGTCAGGGGACTTGACACTTAAAGTTCCAGTTCTCTCATCACCTGGCCACCAGCATCCTTAGGTGCTTTCCAAAATCCACTTCATTAACATAACAAAGACAGGTTCCAAGGGTTTTAGGAGCTCTATGCCAGAAAAGGGGACAAAGACTAAATGTTTATTTCCTTTTGTAAATCATAGTATCACAGCCTCCAGCTCTGGGCTGTCCATCTCTGTCTCCATCTCCTCTGCTGAGTCTCCCTCTCCCTGTTTCTGGTGAAATCAAAGGATACCGCGCCACAGCCCTTCTCTTTCCACACCCACCCGTCTGTTGTCATTCAGGCCATAGCGCCAAAGACCTCCCGTTTGCCCATAGCTCTTGAATTTAGCTGTCTGCGCCCCAGACGTCTTCCCAGCACTCCAGGCCACCTGGACCCCTGCCTCTTCCACATCTCCGCCAGATGCCTTGTGGGCAAATCCTGCCTCACAGGTCCAGCAGCAATCTCCTCCAGAGATCAGACCAAAACCCAGAGTCAGCTTCCCCTGCTCGCCTGCTCCTACACCCCCACATCTGAGTTTCCGGGAAATTCTCTTGGCTTTGACTTCAGAACGTGTCTGGAATCTGACCATGCCCACCACCTCCACTGCTGCCACCCTGGTCCAAGCCTAGGTGAGCGGCAGAGCGTTTTAATTGGGCCCCTGCTGCTGTGACAGCAAAGGAGAGCCTTTCAAAACTCCAGTTCTGTTGCGTCGCTCAGAACTGGCGTCTGCTCAGACCCTGCCATAACCCCGTTTCACTCAGAGTCCTTACAAACGGCCACCGCTTGGCCCCACCAGCAGCTCTTACTGTCCGCCCCTCACCCTCCACTGCAGCCACCTGGCTGCCTCACTGCTCCTGGGACACCCAGGAACACGCCCCCCCTCCATGTCTCTGCACCAGCTGCTCTCCATCTGGAGCATTCTTCCTCCAGAAAACTCCTCAATGAGGCCTGCCCCAATTGCCAAGTTGGATCGTGCACCCTGTCATCTCCTTGCTGTGCCAGGATCTTCCCTTGCATGGGAGATCTTTAGTTTTGACACGCAGGATCTAGCTCCCCAGGGATGGAACCCGGGTCCCCCGCACTGGGAGTGCGGCGTCCTAGCCACCGCGAAGTCCCTCACTCTCCTTATTCCTATCACTTTTAACACTTTTGAAAGAAGCGGCTTACGGTGACTGTCTACCGCCCCCTGCTGGAACCTGGGCGCCTGGACAAGGCCTCCACCTGATTTTTGTTCCTAACTCCAGCCCTGAGAACAGTAAAATGCATGCAGTAGGCACCCAGTAAATATTTGTTGGATGCATGAATGAATGAGATAATATCTCTTACTCTGTTCACTGTGAGGTGTAGACACGAAGGCTGAAATGTGCTTCCAGCCTGAAGGGAGCTGCTAGGCTTGCCAGAAGGCAAGCCAAGACAACGGTGAAGACAAGCTGAGCCAGACGCTGGACAAGTCACCCCATTGCGCTGGGGAAACTGCTGGAGATGGGAGTTTTGCTACTAGCAACTACGACCCTTCTGTGACAGGAGGGGAAAGCAGTTGTCTATGAAGACTGCAAGAAATCGCTCCAGAGGCATATGGAATTATTATTAAAGTTGCAATTGACAGCTGGTGGGTGGGTGTCAGGATGGGTGGGGATCAGAGTTGCCCACAACTCCGGCCTGTGAGGCCTCCAAAGGTTTGCCTTCTCCTGCTGACTTCTCCCATCCTCCACACTGCGGGCTCCCACGCAGGATTCGTTCTGATAACATCCTGTGTAAACAACAGCCCTCCTCAGCCTCCATCCCAATTAACAGGCAGGCAGCTGAAAGCAACCCCCCACACCTGCCGTTCAGGAAGAACAGCCCAGAGGACAGGTGTCCCCAGTGGACGAGGACACAGGCAGGCAGTTCCTGGAGGGCGCTTCACGCATGGGGGCCACGGGTTCTTCATGAAAGCCCTCCACCCGGCTGCTCTCCTCATCCCCCAGGCCAAGCTGGTGACCCTTCCTCACGTCCTCAAGCCTCTCAGCTTGCACACCGCCCCCACTGCCCCCCGGCAGAGGCCTCCTGTGACGGGAGCACCAGCCCCCAGTCACGGGGTAGGTCGTCCGGATCTCACACACCCCTCGCCCCACAGCTCGGCGCTCAGAGAGCCTGGTCCACAGTTGTGGCTCCTTCCTGTCCTCCTGGGTGATCTGGGGTAAGCCCCAGCCCTTCTGAGAACCTCCATTTCTGTCCTGTGATGTGAGCAAGGACTGAGATCACCTCTGCCATCTACTAGTGCCTGTTCTCAGCACGGCAAACCTAGCACTGACTGGGGCAATTTTATCATTCTGCTCTGTCAGCTGTGCTTCCAGTCTAAGCTCCTCCGCCACATTTTGAGCCACCCCTGACCTGGCCCTCCCTGCCATCCAAGATGGTCACACACACGCATCCTTCCCACACTCACCCCAGGTCCCACCACTGCCTGCAAGCTATCTGTCTCCCTTCGACCAGGCCTGGCCCCTCCCAGAATACTTATCCCCTTCTATCTTCCTCCCCAAACACCAGCCATCTTTCTCCTTTCAGGGCTCCCCTCATGCCCTGCTTCCTCTAGGAGGGTCTCTGCTCTGGGCTCAGCCTGAGCTCTCCTTTCTCTCNTCAACTAGTGATGTGCCTGCAGCTTACAGAAGTTTGCCAGTAAGGCAGATCAGTGATGTGACCAGAACAGAGGCTGTGAGATCTTGAGTCAATTAGTCAACATCTCTGAGTCTCAGTTTAGTTGTCAAGAAAAACAAGAATAATAACATGGGCTTCGGGGGACATTATGAGAATTAGATGAGACTATATATGAAGTACCCAGTACAGTTTCTGGAACCCAATAGGCCCTTAATAAATGGAAATTAATGTTATAGCCACCATTGAAAGGGGCTTCTTAGCTGTGTCACAAAAAGCTATATTCCAAGTGTTTTTGCTGGGCTGTGCTAACAGATTCTTTGGATAAAAAAATATTCCAGCATCTACAAAACTACCTCTTTTTATGATAATTCCAACTATACAAGGATGTCATAGAGCACGGCCACCACCTCTGCTCATTGTAACACTCTACTGAGCCTGAACCTAGCCTCGGAAACTTTCTTGACACAGTTGTGGAAGCAGCCGCTAACACATCAGAATGGACACGCATTGTATAATAAAGAAGTTGGCTGGTCATTGTCTTAGGTGTCTGGAAGTAACATCCTTGGAATTTTCTGAGCTGTAAGAGCATTTTGGTTATTCATGCTGAGTCCAATAGTTTACACTAAGAGGTTAGTCACGTGGGCCCTGAGATATCTCAAGTTGAGGGAAAGACCAACCGTGTGGTTAGAGAGGTGGGCTTTGAGCCTTGTGTGATTAAGGGGCCGTGTGCAGCAAGCAGCCTTGACTCAGGTTTGGCCGTGACTCAGTCAGCTGTGCCTACGTAATGAAATCTCAGTAAAAACTTACTGCGTGGTGAACACACTGATGTGCCAGGGGGTCTCAGCCCAGGGTTGCAGAGGCTTCACATGTGAGGCCCTCCCAGACCTGACCCCACACGTGTCTTCATTTGGCTGAATTGTACCATTTAAAACAAAACTCTACTGATAAATCTAGTACTTTCTTGACTTTTGTGGGCCATTCTAGTGAGCTATTGACCCTGAGGGGGTCATGAGAACTCCTGAATTTGCAGCTGCTTGGTCAGAAGCACAAGTGGCCTGGGAGCCCCAGAGTCCACGGTTGGTGTCTGAAGAAGGGGGAGTCTCATGGAAGAGGGTGCCCTCAGCCTGTGAGGCCTGTGCTAAGTCCAAGTGGTTAGTGTCAGGACTGCATCACACTTCAGTCAATCAAAAGCAGGTCCTGTGGGCCTGGTGTGGGCCAAGCTACAAGCCAGACCATGGACCTACAGTGGAGCCAGACAAAGACGAGAGGGAGCCCTGTTGTGCTGCCCCTAGGTGCTCAGGTACAAAGTCCATCCTCAGTCAGGATGCTCCAAGTGCAGAGTGGTACCAGGCCTGAGCCTACAGGAGAAGCCTGTGTGTCTGACTCTCTTTGCCCAGGTCCTCCAGGGTCCCAAGGACCACCCCAGCCCGTGGGGGATGAGAGTAGTAAATACTTCAGCTCCTGACCTCCCAATGGACCATCCTTGGTAGTGAACCCATTGTTCACAAAATCCTACCTGATATGGGCTTTGTATGCTTCCCAATCTTGGTTTGCCTCATCCCTCTCTCCTGCTCCCCTTTGGGGTCACCTCCCAATAAAATCCCTGCAGAGTCTATTTCCAGGACCACAAACATCACAGCTGTGGGCATCTCTGCAGCACCGTTCTTGGGAACGAACAGCAGCCCGAACGAACGTCAGGGCAGCCCGAAGCCTGGCCCCACCTCCATGCCATGAGAGTCTGGATGGACAGAGAATGTCAGTGTGGCCTTTCTGGGGGACAAGACAGTCCTGCGCAGAGGGAGGGGGGCTCTCAGAGCCAACAGGGGAGTTCTGGAGCCCTGCGGAGCAGTTTTAGAGAGAGCCACAAACACAGTGGGAGCGGTCTCAGCCCCTTCTGGTGGACATTCAGGGCTGGACAATCGATCCCTGTGGGGTGACTGGGGGAATGACACAGGGACAGGCAGGCCCTACATCCTGACTCCCAGCCCCGGCAGGCTGCTCTGTCCAGGAGCCCATTTTGTTCGGCGCCACTCCAAGCTTGAGTTTTGACCTGCTGACCTAATGTCCTGGCACCCTTGCCTGACCATCTACAGGACACTGTCCAGCTCAGGTCAGTACAGACCACATTCTGCCCGAAGGTGCTATTACCTGAAAACTGGGCTGGCCTCTTGATGGGTGTCAAACCAATAGGTACAACCAAGCCAAAGATTAGTTGATTTAAGTCAGGAGAGTCAACACCATCATTCCATCCTCCAGCTGGGTGGGGGCTTTGATTCCCCCACAAAAATATATCATTATGTACAGTCAATCCTAAAGGAAATCAACCCTGAATATCCGCTGGAAGGACTGATGCTGAAGCTGAAGCTCCAATACTTTGGCCACCTGATGCAAAGAGCTGACTCATTGGAAAAGAATCTGATTCTGGAAAAGATTGAGGGGAGGAGGACAACAGAGGATAAGATAGTTGGATGGCATCATCAACTCGATGGATATGAATTTGAGCAAACTCCAGGAGATAGTGAAGGACAAGGAAGCCTAAAGTGCTGCAGTCCATGGGGTCGCAAATAGCCGGACATGACTTAGCGACTGAACAATAAAATTAGTCCTTAAAGAGGAACTAGGACGCTGCTCTATCATTGCGTTATTGTTTGACTATCTTTTCTCTGTTCCTGCATTCCTTTGTTCCCTTAAGATGGTTGATTACTAGGATCTGTTCAAGGTCAAGCACTGTGGCCAGGCTTGGATTCTGAAATGGCTTCTCTTATGTCAGGAAAGCTGTGCCTTGTTCTTTCTCTAGGGCCCCCCTAACTCACCTGCTCACAGTGCTTTCCGAGCGGTGGGGGCCAGCACTGCTCTGTTCACATCCGTCAGCGCGCAGGCTGCTGTCCCGTCAGCCTCCGCTTCAGGGTACCCCATTCTAACTCACAGAACAAGCGAGCCGGCAGAGCTTCTGACTCTCCGCACCCCAGAGGGAGAGGCGGCCAGGTGAAGAGGCCCTGCGGAGTGAGGCCTGGGACGGGGCCTGTCCGGAATCCGCGGCAGACTCAGGCCTGGGAAAAGTTCCGGGCGTTAGTGCTTGAGAGAGTGTAAGTGAGAGAACAGCCCTGGAGGCCCACAGGGGGCTGTGCAGTGGGCGTCTCCCCAGACCCTGCCTCCCCAGCTAGGCTCGGGGCTCTTGCTCTCTGAGTGTGGGCACTCCCAGGGAGGGTGGGCAACCCAACACACACCTCGAGGCCTCAGTCTCCACTCTCACTGTGAGAAAGCCAAGTTTCTTCACAGACGACCTTTCTTCACAGACCACCTGCAGTCTTTCTTCTTACACAGCCCAGAAGGTGCTCTGGGCTCCCCTCTGCCCACATCTGCCCTGTCTCCTGTCTCCAGGTTCAATGTCCAGCCTGTCCCCTGTGCATCGTCCCAGCGGTAACTGCCTTGGCCTTGCCTTCCTTCTGTACTTCGTGGCATGAAATGAGCCCAGCCTTCCACTGAGACACTTCCAATAGTAAGGGGAGGGGGAAGGGGCTCTAAAGAGCCCCCTCCTCCTGTGACAGAGTTAATGCAAAACAATAACAAACAAACAAAAAAATCCATGATACACAAAATATAAAAGTTTCCATTAAAGACAGGATCAATATTACTGATTTTTCTTTTCGCCTCAGCTCCATTATGATTTGACACCAATCATCTTTGTTTAAAATTTCAACATTTTTTTAGTTCATCTTGGAAATTTGACGTTAATTTTTTATTATTTTTAACATTGCGTTAAAATAATACGTATCTTGATTCCTGAGTTTTGGGGTGCCATTTTAAATTTTGCACCCAAGGCAACTCCCCATTCCCTCACTCTAGTGCCAGCCCTGACCCCAAACTAACTTGGACCCTCCAATGAAGGGGGCTCTAGACCAGGCCATTCCTTGCCATGTTTTGTGTAAGAATGATAACAAATCAACCTGAACCATGAACAATTAAGACAGTTTGGGGAGAGGAGATCAGAGAGAGAGAGAGGCAAAGACACAGAGAAAGAGAAGTGGAGAAGATGCAAAGATTAAAGAGAAGAGAAAGGACTGGGGCCAAGCCTATGACTTCAGAAGCTCATACAAAGGACTCCTTGCCCACGGTACAGCCTTGCCCTGATAGGGGCTCTAAAGAGCCCCCTCCTCCTGTGACAGAGTTAATGCAAAACAATAACAAACAAACAAAAAAATCCATGATACACAAAATATAAAAGTTTCCATTAAAGACAGGATCAATATTACTGATTTTTCTTTTCGCCTCAGCTCCATTATGATTTGACACCAATCATCTTTGTTTAAAATTTCAACATTTTTTTAGTTCATCTTGGAAATTTGACGTTAATTTTTTATTATTTTTAACATTGCGTTAAAATAATACGTATCTTGATTCCTGAGTTTTGGGGTGCCATTTTAAATTTTGCACCCAAGGCAACTCCCCATTCCCTCACTCTAGTGCCAGCCCTGACCCCAAACTAACTTGGACCCTCCAATGAAGGGGGCTCTAGACCAGGCCATTCCTTGCCATGTTTTGTGTAAGAATGATAACAAGTCAACCTGAACCATGAACAATTAAGACAGTTTTGGGAGAGGAGATCAGAGAGAGACAAAGACACAGAGAAAGAGAAGTGGAGAAGATGCAAAGATTAAAGAGAAGAGAAAGGACTGGGGCCAAGCCTATGACTTCAGAAGCTCATACAAAGGACTCCTTGCCCACGGTACAGCCTTGCCCTGACCTGAAGGCTTTCCCTTCAAACTGGTAATACTTGTAATCAGCCAGACACAGTAACAGGAGCATTTGTTGTTGTTGTTTAGTCACTAAGTCATGTCCGACTCCTTACCACACCATGGCCTGTAGCCCACCAGGCTCTTGTGTCTGTGGGATTTTCCAGGCAGGAATACTGGAGTGGCTTGCCATTTCCTACACCAGGGGATCTTTCCAACCCAGGGATTGAACCCT